TTTACAACTTTTTATTCAAAATTTTCTTGTTTTGTTTCTAAAAAAAAGGTATTTACTAAAAATAAATTATCACACTGTACTATAAACGACTTTTTTAGTGTTTCTTCTGAGTTTAAAAGATAAACTTGTCCCGGTTTACCCACTTCCTATCAGTGGCGTATCTAGAAACTTGACATGGGGAGGGTCCAGACAATTTTCATACTACAGATCCGTGGGGGAGAAGCCCCCCACACCCCCCAATTACGATTTATTTAATTAATTTACCAAATTTTTATTTTTTTGTATAAGAATTCAATAAATTTATTACAATATGAATTAATAACATAAATTCATTTTGTTGTTAATCATTTATTTTTAATAGTATAAAAAAACCTTTATAATATAAAAGCTAATTTTCTGGGACTTAGAGCCATTTCGTTTATTATTTCCTCTACATTTATATGTACCTATGTCACGATGAATGGACATCATAGCCAGTCCATTTAGCCTCATCTACATAATAATAAAATTAAAAATTAAGTACAAATAAGTTATATTGTTATATAGTAGATATCAAATATTTTTCAAAATAATTAAAAGTTTAATTTGTTCATTATTGTAGATCTTAGATAAGTTTTCAACCTTAAAAAGGTTGAAAAAGATCTTTCGGGCGTTGCTGTCGACACCGGTAATGTGCATAATATTTTGATTAAAAAATTAATATTGGTAAAGTCAATCAAGAGGCAACTCAAAAGTGCTTCTAACCCACTTTTGATGTTAACCCCTTGACCGGCTATTTTTAATTTCCATATACCTAGGCATTATCATGTTCTACTGGTGGTAAGTAAAATTTAACTAAATTATCAAACGCTATTTTTTCAGCATCAGAAAATGTGGTCGTTAATAAACATTCAAACTCTATATTAATATACAAAACATAATATTTATTACCGATTTTTATACTAACCTAGATAAATCAATATACTTATTACCTTCAAAAACGGATTTATGATTTAAAAATCGAGTTGTAAGTTGGTTGATAAAATTGTCAATAAATGGCATAAACACTGTCACTCTATAATATAATCTTCTACAGAAGATACTTGAGGATTCGCTCTATTTGTTTGTTTTATTGCTGTGCGTTTTTTAATTACCTACTTCTGTGTCAATAACATTTGATAAATTCTATTAAGATATTAAAAGTTAATTATATATTATTAATACTCAACAATGAATTACTTCAAAACTCAAATCATATACTTTTAGTTTCTCAAATAAAATGTGAAATTCTTTTTCTGCATCCTGTCTCATTTCCAGGGCCGTATTAAGGGACAATGTATGGGGGAGCAAACATAAATATGACG